AATCCGCATTTAATTATCAGGGGCGCAAATATTGGGTGCTAATCTAGATGGTGGGGAAGAGAACTACGCGGCTGCGCGGCGCTCTTCGTCAGCGCTTTTAAGGCTGTCTACGGTGGCCCTGTATTTCGAAACTGCAGGTGTGGCGAAATGTCTAGCGAAGGCCGAATGACTAAGCCTTACATTCTGGGAGACGGTCAATTCAATCGTCGGCTAATGAGGTCACGCCGCTCACGCGGCGGGCAGCGTCGCGCGCGGCAAATGGTGCGGCGATTTTTGTATGGGCCTTGGCTTAACGGTCCTTGTCCATAAGTTGCTGGTGGGGTTAGAGAACTGATAAGACCAAAGTTCCAGACATCAGTGAGCCAACAAGAGTCACCTTAAGATCTCCGCAGTTATTTAAGCCTCACTGTACAGAGCTTGTGCCATGTAAAGGTTGTCCTTCACATAATGGAGACTTATCATCGACATGCGACCATTTGTTATCGAAAGCGATAAATCTGGCTAAATCGGAAAATATTACAGTAACGACGGAGCTGGAACGGATGTGGAGGCGAAGGCATTAACATCAGTATGACAGAATAAGTTTGTAATAATGGCAAAGGACAAGGATCCTGTATTATTAAGGGGGCAGGTGATCATATACCGTGTTTCACGACTGGGAAACTTCATCTAATCCTACATTCCCCAATGCTAGAACCCTGAATTCTAACCACGGCCGACGTCGCATCGCGGGCTGCGGCGGCTGGCGGCGGCGACCTAGCCATCGCCACGATTGAATCAGTCACGCACTTACACTAGCGGTGCAAACGAACAGAGCGCCGCGCCGCGCGTGGTCTATCACCTTTCTGACCATAGCTATGTTGAAGAAGTAGCGATCACTTGGGCGATTTGGCTTTTGAACGCTTAGAAGAATCAGGGAAAAGGACTGTGTGGACGTTTTTGCCATACCATGAAAAGCTGTGCTGAATGAAATGGTGCCCCAGAGTAGCGAACTGAAAGCGCAACTTGCCGTAAGGAGAGGTCCGGGGTCGAGCCCTGTCTGGGGCAAAAGTTTTGTTCACAACCCAGCATTCCTATAAGACATGTGGATGACCTTTTCAGTTGAATACATATTGGAAGCAAAGCTTTCAGTTTGCCTAGGGGTTCATCTTTTCCCACATCATCGAACAGAAGAAGCTGAATGATGAAAACTCGCGTTTACAGTAGAATATCTCATAGAGGAAAAATAAAACGTAGAAACGAGGTTATTTTTGACTCCATCAATTTTGAAACGAGTTCAAGTATTCGTTAGAAAGCATCTACCTTCTGACTTTGATCCCTTCCTTCAGGAGGTCAGAAATTGCGAGGATGAATCTGAAGAAAGTTGTGGCAGTTTAAAACAAAAAGAACCGCGTATGCAACATATATATTAGTATACATATACACACATAATACATAATACAGTATACGGACCAATGGGACGATTTTTTGAAGGAAATGAATATTTACAAAAGTCGAATAATGAATTCAGAAAAATCAAATTGTTTTTCCTCTAAAGAGAAGACACAGTGTGGAGTTCCTAGATTTTTTTACCTCTTTTCAAAATCTCACATTTGAAGAGAGCAGAACTCTTTCAATGGAAGAAACGCGTTTTCGTGAAATCCAAATTCTCTGCTTCACAAGAGAAAGGGAAAGCATGAGCTGATCCATTCCATCGGCACCGGGCCCTGTAGTGTCAACTGCATGAGTTTATCGTCCTGCTCAGACGATAGTTTAGCTCACCTCGAGCCGCAACTCATCAACGGATAGCGATAGCGCCGTAGAAGCGAATCTCCTCAATATCTCCACCCAAGGAGTGAAGCGTTAATAAATGTGCAAGGTACGCCATAAATGTGATGTAAAAGTAAGTCATGATGAGTCATGAAAACGTGACTTGAATTAAGCACAATGCATTTTCGTGCTTGCTTGGCGTTTCAACAATGAAATGGCTGCACGGTTGATAGATGTGATTATATCAATGATGTTTTCAGAAGACTGCCGTGTGCGGCAAAAATCTTTTCAAAAATGCAGCACGGATGTTTTTAGCGTGGTGGTGCTTAGGCTTGAAAATGGAGGAACATTGAATGAGGTCGAAAGTTCAGACCTGGTTCTCGATGCAAGACAAATTTGCCTGCTCCAAACTCTTGAACATGCGACTAATACATAGGTAATTGGCTGACAATGTATGTCTGTAGATGTTTTGGCACGGAAATTCGGCATTAGCCACTCGGTGACTAGGACAGTCAAGTTCGGCATGGGTATATGGAGCAAAACGTACGAAGCACACATCAGCTAACTATAAGCAAAGCCCCATCAGGGTGAACTGTCCGTCCGAGCTATTCGAACGTGGGGGATAGGGGGTATTCAGCTCATGGAGTGGAGAGAGGGGTCGTAAACAGGTCCAAGCGTGCGTTGAGGAAATCCTTGACACGTTACCGGGGGGGGGGTCGTACCTGGAGGAAGAGATCGGGCCGGATTGATGCAGTAGGATCATCACTGTCGGAGGACAAACATCAAGGATCGAATCGATGCCATGGAAGGCCAGAGGACTTCCAATAACAATGTTATTCCGCCCACATAAAATTTTCGTGATTCAGAAGGTAATTCTTAGTTACTTCAGTGTTTTATCACCACACAAGTTAAAGAATCCGAAATTCGCACGTTTTCCAAGAGATATTTATCTTTCAAGTGAGTCCTCGAATCTGAAGGGATGTGAAGCACACGGCGCATCCCAGAGTGGGCCCTTTTCAGATTTGACGAAAATGGAGCAACTTACGGCTTCGAAAAGTGTAAAAACTCGTGCTCATCATACTCGTACATTATTCCTCGGTAGTTGAAATAAATTTGTTATTTCTCTTATTACCCTAATTTCCGGTAGATAAGCCCGCGCCGATTTCACGTAAAAACACCTCCGCTCGTGCAGTGTAATTTTGTACACCTTAGAAACTACCGTAAATTTGCCTATAGAGGTAATTCGATGCCCTGATTACGAAAATGACTTTCATTTTTAGCGTGGCGCCATCTGGCGCCAGTTGGCGTCACCTTGTCACGACACCTGTTTTCACCAAATTTGGTGTAAACTTCCGTATAGGGGTTATTTGGTGTCCTGATTACGAATATGACATTCATTCTCGGCGCTGGCGCTATTTGGCGCCTATTTTCTGCTCGTCTGCGCTCTCCAACCGAGAAATATGCACTGAACAACGTTAATGCCAAAAACGAATGTCATATTCGTAATCAGGGTCCCAAATAACCCCTATACTGAAGTTTACACCGATTTTGGTGAAAACAAGGGTCGTGACAAGGTGGCGCCAGCCTAAAAATGAATGTCATTTTCGTAATCAGCATATCGAATTACCTCTATGGGCAAGTTTATCTTTGTCCTCTAAATGTACGCAAGTGCACTGCATTCTACACGGTATAAATGTTACATATGTTGGCGCGTGGCTCCTCCGACCAGATAATTAGGGCCTTTCGTTTTGGCACGTTTAGAAAAACCTTTAGAAACACCGCAAAGTTACCTTTCAGATTGAAAACTTCTTCATGATTTGAAAAATTATATATCTTTGAATAGTGTTCAAATCAATATAGGATAATTTGCGTCTAAGTTAAGTGCAAAAGATCAATCAACACCCAGTTGGCTAAGGCGGTTACAAGGCTTCCTTCAACTGAAAGAGGATGTGTAAACTGAGACATACTCCGTGTAGTACAAAAATTTTTGTTGTTGGTAATTCCGGGCGAGAAAATAAAGAGAGAGATGTTGCCATAGTATGCCATTTTTATTGCTAGTTTGTCGTTTTTGCTCCGTTTCTCGTTTACTCGTCTTCGCGGGACTCATCAATAATGATCATTCCTTGACTTTTGCACTTTTGCACTTCTTTAGCGAATTTTTTTTGGAGGAGGGTGGGGTAGGAGGGCTTCTTTATAAACAGTAATTGGGGAGAATTGAGTGCTACTTTTCGACTTAGGGAAAGGATTTCGTCATCTCGAGTATATTTTAGTCATACAATATCCAGCGAGACGACTGTATTTCATCATGTCTTACATGGCGAGAAAAAACATGTTATCGAAAAGGCATCGATGTTTACGATGCCTTCGAGAGATATACCAGTCCAGGTTCTTGTCAAGTCCAAGAGTTGTCGGCACACGAGAGCTCCCAAATATTTTCTTTGGATCTTCCCATCTTCAGCAATCAATGAGGGCTGCGAGAAACTAATTATTCTATTTACTTCCTAATATTTGATCTACTCACCAACTGACTTAAAAGAAACGACCTGACAAAGGTCTTCTCCAGCTCAGGTATGGATACGTATCTATACACGTTTCTATGGGAATGTCGAAAATAACCCTCATTTCTCAGTACCTTTCCTCTCGTGTCTTCGACCAGCCGTTTTTTCACTCTCGGAGTGGTTCTAGTCGGTTTACTCGACCATCCCGAGGTGCTCTAGACAAGAGAATTTTATTGGTACAAAGTGTTTCAAACAATCCTCTATAGTATTTAGAACGATAACCATCTCGTTCCGACTCAATTTTCAAGCATCTACGCCAGCAATTCGTCACATTTTTCGTAATCGGCTTCTCTTTTTCAACGACTTTTGGAATCTCATCAATTTTGTGTTTTCAACGATATTTTACTCACTTTCTTATTTATCAGATTTCAATCATGGGTGATGAAGAACCTATGGAGGTAGACCAATTGGAGCAGAGACCAGCCCGTTTATTGGGAGATTCCGACATCGCAGCGATTATTGCGGCAATGAAAGTTGAGCAGATTTCAACTTCCGCCCTTAGCTCAGCTTCGAGTCCTTCTTTTGTTCGCAAAGGGTATGCATCCCAGTACGAGTTCAACATGTCGATAACACACAGTCTCAGTCAAATGATTAGAAACGGAATGAGAAAGGAGAACGAGGAAATCTTGGAATCAACTCTGACTTCAATCAAGGTTAGAAACCTTGAAGATTGCCGATAAGCACCCCGGAGTGTTCTCCTTCTTAGACAGTAAGAAGCAAGCGGAAGCCATAAAACCGTCAAGCCCATTTCTATCCGAATATTTGGAGAAGATACAGAAGGAAGGGGAAAAAGTCAAGAAGAAGAGAGGTTCCTCTCCAGGGCCTGTTAGCCAGCCCTTTCGAGGCAGGGACTCGGTGTGGCGACCCGACTCGCGCTCTTTCTCGTACGCCCCAAGATACAAACCCTATCAACAATCAGCTCAACCCTCTTATCCCTACCGCGTGGAACGATACGGATATAAAAGTGGCTTCTCGCCTCGCACACCTCACCAGAAATATGGCAGAGAGAAAGCAGAACGACCGAGAAGTCCGTGTTTTTTGTGCGGCCATGAAGGACATTGGAGGGACCAGTGTCCAAATAGAAATAGTAAGTATTATTCTGGTTCTATACATAATTACATCTCTATGTGGACGGCTCTCGAGCCTAATACATTGGTTCTCGATACCATATTGTATGGATACAAGATTCCATTTTACGAGGCTCCTGAGCCTCCTCTTAGAGGTGGTAATAGCAGATCCTCGTGGATTCATTCCGAGTTTGTTGATAAAACATCTACTACCGCGGGGAGGATTCATGACAACTTTTGATTTGAAAAGCGGCTTTCACCATATACGCATAGCAGAACGCAGTCAGCGTTTCTTGGGTTTTTATTGGAACAATAAGTATTATAAATTCACTGTGCTTCCATTCGGTTTAGCTTCCAGCACCTCACATATTCACCAAATCCTTAGCCTTTGATAGAATTAGAAAGCAGGCAAAGGAAGTGGCAATGTACCTTGACGTGCCTAATTTTTGGCGCATCATAGACGAGTGGGAGAGAATATTAAAAGGAGATCCCGAATACCTCAAAGGTCGGATGTCGAACTTCGAAACAGTAATTAAGTTCAAAATAAGAACTTGGAAATTTGACGAATCTCGATCTCTTGAAGATACCAAAGAGCCAATAACATATACTGAGCGCATCCTTCATCGAGCCAGCGCCCATCTGCACTACTAGAATGAATGGATGGGCACCTCCATAATTGATTTGGGTCATACAGAAACAATCCAGGCCATGTCAAAACTCGGTTGCCAAATCAAACTCAGTGAGCTACTCTCTGAATTATAGATAGACTTTATCAAGCAGAGAGAAACGTAACATAGAGTTTTGGATGAAGAGGCTAACAGACGGGTATTCACATCTCTCGCTACACCTCATAAGCCTCCGGTTCCAAATTCCGTTATAGAGGTAGATGCATCAGCTCACTCGGTGGGGGCAGTACTCAGGGGAAAGGTAAATATCAAGGCGCATAGTACGCACCCGAATCATTGTTAACGGCCTCCAGCACGAGTAGGGAGTTGTTCGCAATACATTTCGGGTTGCTTACTTTTGGCCCCGTGCTATCAGGGACTGTTCTCTTGAGAACAGACAATCAAGCAGCGTGTACGATTTACAAGACCGGAAGCATTTTAGAACACCTTCAGATACAAGCGGAATCCATATGGGAGTTGGAAAACAGTCTAGGACTGGATAGGGTCATCATAGAATGGATTCCAAGAGAGGAAAATGTGATGGCAGATAGCGAAAGTAGAGAATTGGATTTCGACAGTTGGGGAATAAATTGCTCTACAGCATGTAGATTACAAGAAAGGCTTTTACTCTGTGAAATCGACATGTTCGCAGACGATACAAACTATATATGTGAAAGATTTTTTTCCAGGAAGCTGGTGCCCTTTCACATCAGGAATCGATGCTTTTCAGTCGACAGGTGCTTGGGAAGGACATCCACTCTGGTTAGTGCCTCCTCCTACTTTGATTGCAAAAACCTTGGCTTGGGCGCGGCATTATCGCTCGTTGGTATATTAGGGTGTCCTTATTGGCCATCACAGGCTTACACACTCATATTGAAGCCAGACGGGGTTAATTGGGCAAACTTTGTCAAAGACGGCATTTTGTTTCCAGTGGGCTCCAAAATTTTCAGACCTTGCCCGCATTCAAAGGTATTCTCTAGCGAATTCTCAAAACTAGGTTTGTATTCCTGCTTATAGATTTTCGGAAAGACCCTTTTACCTCGGAGGACGCTTACATTCTAACTGTC